CTGAGAGAGCAGTTTGCTGCAGGAGATGCTGTTTTGCTCACATTAGCAGCCAGTTTGGGGGGTTAAAAAGTAGCTTTAACGACAATGATAATGATGACTTTGCATTGACATTGCTGAGTGGAAAAAAAAAATATCTATTGGTCTCCCCCTTTCTCATGGGCTCCTTCCCTTCTCTCTCTCTCCCACTTTTTTTAATCCATCCATTGTGTCTTTGACTGTCTTTCTTCGGGTTTAATTGGTTTCATTCATGCCATGCAGTTTTGCTAAAGAGGAGGAGCAGCGGCGTTGCTGAGATGCAGGGAAGGGGGAAGGGCAATCGAGATACCGTAAATACTCGAGAGGGAAAGAGAGAGTGAGAAAGAGAGAAAGAAGGTCATTCACATCTTCGTTTTCAGTGACTCCTTTTTTTTTAAGCAGATGGTAGGGCCAGTTTTGTGTCTTTGAGGGGTTTCTGTTCACCCCCAACTGGTACGTCCATCCATGTCTGTCTTTGGGTTAATTCCATCACTGAAACTAGCTCTCCGATCAGTTGAACTTGAAGTCCCAAGATTTCAACTGTCTCCCAGAAGATTCCGATGATATCAAATAGACCGGATCATGTCAAATACATGTGATATGGCTGATGTTTTCTGATATGTATGAGTAGATTTCAGCCAGAGGTCCTGTAGCTCAGCAGAGATTAGCAGGGCAGCCCAGCGGCAACCCTGGATCAGACCCAGCCGGAGCAGTTAGACATCACAATGGACCACCCCTCACCTTGCATAGTGCTTTGAATGCCAAAATAATGGGACATCCAATTGAAATAAACAGTTGTGAATGCAGCTTATTAAATAAAAAGAGTGGTCAGCAAAGCAATAACACAACTAAATCACAAACAGTTGTGGACATAGAGGGCATCCTTGTTGCATGGTTTGCAAATCCAAGTCTGTCGTAGGCCCTCTGACTGCTACGCTGGGAGCATCCATGCTGTGGTTTGCTCTGAAAACTCAGATCAAAAGAGGTGGAAATGTTTTTCTCTCCCGTCTTAAAATGGCTTACATGTGATCATAAGCATTTTCTTCATTGGGATCGTCAGCGAGGTTGCATATGAGCGCATAACACAGAAGATGAAAATGTCCAAGCCAGTGTCAGTGACTGTGATGACTTCTACCTCTCATCTTCTTTTTTTTCTCTTTCTCTCTATCTCCCTCATGTTTTCTACAGTGAATCCCGTTGGGGGAGATGGAGGAGCAGCGGTTTAAAGTTTATAGTTTTCCTCTTCTTGTAGGGAAAGGGGGCAGGGGTGGGGGTGGGGGGTCTAGAAACTCAGCACTGAAAGGGAAAAAGAAAAAGAGAATTTAGTGAAGATCTGAAGTGAATAAGCAATGACTGTTGACCGTCAGACACCAGACCATGGCACAGAGTTTGATCATGCCCTGATTAAGGATGATGAAGAATTTGTAGTGTACAACCATTATACCATCATGGTTTAAGTGAAAACACCATGCAATAGGTGATAAAGGCTTTAGATATTCCAGATGAAGCATTTGTTAACCAATTGATTTAACTATATCGGTTAGTTTGTTTCAGATTTTAAGTGGATTTAGTAGCATCCAGGTCTGGTGCAGATCAAGGTCGAAGCCCGTTCTGCACATACTGTAAGTTGAATAAAGTGGAATGATGCTGGTGGGTAAAGTAATGTTTTCTTTGATTTCATAAGAATGACTTCTGCTCAGATATGGTCCTGCAGCTGGTAGCAGCAGCTGTTCACAAGTTCAGACTAGGCTAGTTCTCACACAAGTTTACAGTTGCACCTCATGAATTACTTCTTACATAGAGATTAGTTGTTACTAAATCTTTACAGCCACTAACTGCCATGTGTAGTTGTTGTGTAGCTAATGGAACCAGCTATTAAAGCTAACTTTAGCTCGCTAATATCTGATGGTTTTAGAGTGAAGAGTAAAAGAGGTAGCCTATCTAGCCTATTTGACCTGAAACTTGATAAATGCTGTACATTTCACAAAAATAAAACATACCTCAAATTATAAAACATTATGCTGATGATATTTGACTAATCGAGTAAATACCATCAGAATTTAATTCCCACCCATTATAAACTGTATGAATACTATTTACTCTGAAACACGTTTTTCTCCATCTATGCAGACATAAATTAAACAAATACCTACATTTACAAAAGATATATCTTTGAACCTCTAAAAATGTCATTTGGAAGCTATGATAGCTAGTTATGATAGACTGACTTCCTGTTTAGATAGCTGATAGCTGAATGGTCAGCACTATAGATGTTTTTACACATTACTAAGATCTTAACTAAGATATTTTTAAAGAAATCAGTTTGAAACCTAGTTGTTACTAAGAACTTGCAACCCAATCCTGATCTATCAATATTCGTCAATGAGATGGTTCCATTAAAGATTAACATTTTACAACTGACACTGGCAATTTTACCTATAGGACTATGAAAAGCCAGCCATCAGGAGATTTCAGGAGAAAAAATTAGCAAAGCTGACAATTATTTTACCCACCATCACAGAAAAATACAGTTTCAACTTTCATCCAGTTGTTTTGATTTCCATTTACTCTGCTGAAAAGGTTTTGATATCTTTCTGAGGTCCAGAATGGAACCACATTAGATATGGTCCTGTTTCCCAAAAGCATCAAGAATGGGTAAGATCACGTTGTTAGTAAAATGAATATGCAATAGACAGCAATATCTTTTTGTGAAATTTGAGAAAACAAGCTTAACTAAAGGTTTAGTATATTTTTCAACCACATGTCATGGTCTTTATCACCAGCTGGAGTTGTCATAGAGTTGCAATCACGTGACCAAAGTATGAAACTTCCATCATATGTCAACAGGTGACAAGGGTGGAAAGTAACTAAGTGCATTTTCTGAAGTACCGTACTTAAAGGTCCAGTGTGTAACATTTAGGATCTATTGGCAGAAAGATTTTTTTCAATACCTTACACTGAGCTGTTTTTATCTACAGATGCTTAAAGCTTCTGTGGTGACCAGCATGTTGAACCACCATGTTTCTACAGTAGCCCAGAACAGACAAACCAAAAACTGGCTCTAGATTGGCCCGTTGGCTGTTACAATCTGCAATTTGACTAGTTTCCACTAAATCCTACACACTGGACCTTTAAGTACAATTTTGAGATACCTGAATTGTTTTTTAAAGGGAAATATTACTTACAATATTATATTGGTACTCTTCCTTAAGTAAAAGATCTGAGTACTTTCACTTACTTCACTGAGGTGATGATGACTGAGCAAACTCCATGTGCTGATGAAGACAGTGGGATGTGGCTGAAGGCTCCAGAAAAAGGTAATATAATTTATGACATATGAGACACTAAATACAAAGCATAGTGTTGTAAAGTTAACCACTAGCTACACTGACCATATGCCTGTGAGCAAGAAGGAAGTGCTCAGTGTTATTTTGTCTTTTAACTTCCCATTATCAAAAAATTTATATTACACAGACGTATACAAAAGATAGTCTGCAAAGTATAAATCGTCTGGATAATTCATAATTTATGAAGAATTAAAATAACATTAATAATAATAATAATCACAGCAGCCATTTTGACATGAAGTAGTAGGTAAACACAAGTGTTACCAGTGATACTGATTCAGGTCAAACAGAGTCAGGATGTCGCTATTGGGCATGTTGGCTCACTGGAAAGGCTCTTTTACCCTACTACTTCATGTCAGAAAAATCTGTGAAAAATTATCTGGATCCTCATACTTGAAAGCTAGCATTAACAAAGTCAGCACTGATATTTTTCAGCTGCTACTGCCACACACAGTAAGCTAGTTGAGCTAGCTGTGACATAAATCATCTGATATCTGTGGTGGTGTCAGGTCATATGGCTTCCTCAACTTACTTTTTACTTGTATTTACTATAGCCAGCAACAGTAACTGGTAGTTGTGGTACAAAACAGAAAACGAAACAAAGAAAAAATGGGCAGGCCACTAAAAGTCAATATTAATACACAGAATGTTTAGAGCTGGTTTGTCCATTGCTATAATATCAACAGATTTAATCCCATAGATGCTGTTGGAAAAGAGGCTGTGGGAGTTGATTTCATCTTCTAAATGAGATTGATAGTGTTAGCCATTGTAGAAACCCTTCTTTCTTTCAATAGTGCTGCACAACCTTCCAAACAAAACCCTCTCAGGTTGTAGCAAGAACATAGATATTCAAAGACTTCTACAATGGCAGACTGAGTGTTCCTAATCTAATCTGTAGTTTCCAGTGGTGCTCCGTATAAAAGAGTCATTGGTACTAATGGAAACTGCAGCAACATAATACCGAACACCAAGGCAAGGAAATGATAGGCCAAACACACCACTGAAGCAAAGAAAAGACACATCAGTATAAAGCTTGCCCAGCCCAGCTGACATGCAAGTACACCGAGAACACAGAGCTTGAATGTGACACACACTAACGTTTCTCTCTGTCTCTGTAACTCGCACACACAGATTAAATCTGCAGAAGTCCTCGGGGGGCTGCTCAGTCCTCTGATATAACAAATCTTTGGATGCTAATTAAGAAGCTTACAAGACCAAGAGACATTAAGGTCACGAGCTAAGTGGAATCAAAAGATGTCAGAGGTCAGACCAGAGGACTGCAGCCAGCCAGGACTGGGCCAAAATCCAGACCAAGAGCTGAGAGTAGAGACATCTCAGTCCTGCACATGTACAGACCAGACCTTGGCCAAATAACAACGATTTTGAACTTTTTGTTTAATCCCACTTCTGTCAGACAGACAGGGTTTTCTGCATTATGTCAGTTCATCTCTAATTCATTTAATTTCACTCTGGTGCAGTTTGCGTTCGCCCGAATGACAAACTACAACTCTTCTGCACCTGTGTGGGATGAAACAAGGCATATAGCTAGTGTTTGTGAAGGCTGTTTGACCCAGGTGTGGTACACACAAAGGCTACACCAAAGAAAAAGGTAAGGAAATAAGAGTGCGGCACACAACACGAAAACACACAGAACATAAAACAAAATGTCACACCAACACAGAACCACACACAGGTGAAGAAACACAACACGAGGAGCAAAACGGTGCACAGGAACCACAGTGAGGTACACATTCTTACATGGAGAAGCGATTTTGCTTCGTTCTTTCTTTCCTCCTCCTCCTCCTCATCATCACCACACTTTTCTGTCTTCCCCAAACTTTTCCTCCTCCATCTCCTCCCTCTGATGCTGCTCGGCTGACAATCCACTCAGAACACATCATTTCACAGCACATTTCTCCCCTCCTCCCCACCTACAATACATCACTGCAGTCTTTTCATTCTTTTAAATGTCCGTTCCTGTCTTCCTCCTCGGTGAAATCCAGTGTTTGGCCAATCTTTTTTTTAAATCTTTTTCAGGTGCAATTCCTTTTTTGGTTTTTGCTGTGAGAGACTTCGGGATGGGGGGGATGGATGGGGGGGATAAAGTCTCACAGAAAGAGGGACACAGAGGGGCGGCACAAGGAGAAGACAGGAAGCACAGTTGGACAAGAAAAGCAAAATAGCATTTTCGAAGGGGGGGGGGGCAAAAGCCACAAAACAGAGCACAGAAAAGAGAGGAGAAGCTTGACTTTTTTTTCTTGTCTCTCCCTTTTACATACATATAATACATCTGTGAGGAAACATGGGTGAACAGGAACACAGGGGGGCCAAAGGAGAGATTGAGAAAGAGATACCTGAGTTGTGAACGGATGGAAAGGAGAGAACCGTTGGCAACAAGGGGCAAAAGCTAAAAAACTAGCAGGATTAAAAGACTTTGACTTTTGTGGGGTGCCTCTGCAGTGTGGAATCTCACTGGGTAGTCAATGCAACCTCTTCAAAGATCTTTTTGGGCAAAAAACACATCTTGAGATCTGTCGAGTTTCAATTGTAGAAACAAATTTGGTAAAACTATGAAGTGTTCAGCTGGTCCGAGGCTCATCCAGGAGATCCTTTAGCCATTACCACATGTTTTACATGGCTTGCTCGAGACTGGTGAAGACACTCCACAATTTTGAACAGACAGATCTCAGTCAAGGCTGGATTACCAACTGGACATAGCGGGCCACTACCCCAGGCCCCAGACCTCATTGACCCAAAGGGCCCCGGGTTCAAATGTGTACTAATAATTTTGTGATAATTTTATTAATTGCAAATTTGTTTGGTAACATGTACCACTAATCAACCCTGTGACCACACAGCAACACTGAGTTGATATGAGTATGATAAGTTTAGTGATGACAGAGTTGAGTTTATCCATGTGACATATGCTACAGATATAGACATTGAAACTGTAGTGAAAGGTGTGTATGTTGCTGGTATAGTGTCGATATGAACAGACCCTTTTTCACTGTCTATTTTTGCTGGGAACTGTGCGCAGGTGACGTCTTTTAGAATAAGTCAGCACTAAAATTCTTAGGAAGCTCAGTTAAACCTTGTGTGATGTGTTTTACTGTCAAAGAGGAAATAAAAGGACCAGCCAATCCAGCCAAGACTTACTGGTGTCACTGGATGTCATGATGTGATTGATAGACAAGTCACAGAAAAGCGGGATTTACATTATGCTCTGATGGAAGTATTCCATGTTTACCAGAGAGAAGGATGATGACTCTCTTCCCCTTTGACTAACAAGTGCTTTGTACCTTCAAAAAGTAATTTTAGAAAAAAATGGCCTCAGTCTTATAATCGCTGTCTTATATTCCGACTAATACTGCATTATGCATATGTGGTAAGTTTTCTTAAATAAATTTGCATTCAACCAAGGTTTGAACCGGGATAGGGTGGCTTGCCCGAGGTTCCCCTGGCATGTTAATCTGGCCGTGATCCTCATCCTTTGTGGGAGGTTGCATTGAATCATTGCAGTCTCACATTGCAGAGGTATCCTTCTGAACTTACTGCAGTTTAAATGCAAGTGTATAAAATAGGACAGGACAGAAAAAAATGGAAACGTGACATGGACAGGGTGACGTTAGAAACTGAAAATGAGGAAGCAGACGAATGGTAACTATGGACAGGGAAAATTTTGGTAAGGAGGTATCTTGGGAGGAGAAGGGTCTCTCCTCTCTGTTGCAGAAGAGGAGTTGAGACAATGATGGAAGAAGCTGGATTTTTTTTTCATGTCTTAGCATTAGTTCACAGTTACTGCTTCTTTTTGCATATATCTGATAAGCGCAGGGCTTTCAGAACAGTTCTCTGTGAAAAGAGAAGCAAAAGAAAGAGGAAAAATAACATAAGCTACGATTGTTAATATGTTTCTCTTATCATAAGTCTCTCAAGATCGATAAGAAAGCAGCTATACAAGACCTACTAGAAACATAACCCCTCCCCATCCTGCAAAAATAAACTTTCCCACCCCCACCCAGCCCTGTTACAGTACCTAACTTGGTCTCTTCTGACCAATAGCATCATAGCATTTTGGCATGCATAATGTCAGCCTGTCCCACCTCTTGCATTCAAAAAGGTGAAGATTTTTTGTCCTGCATGCTTTGTTAGTGCATATGTATGCGTCTAAACACACACATCCATACACACTCTTAGTAGTCTAAATGTTATATACACATTCATTAAGCTTGAGACTAAAATCTTATCAAACCTCCTCACATTATTAGTCATATCAGTATCCTTATTGCTTGCAATGGAAACCCATGCAGATTCATCTACAACACAAACTTTACATATGTACATCATCGTGACAAAAGCGACCAATCAGCAGTGGCCTTGGGGAAAGTGACGAACACACTCAAAACAAGTGGACGTTTGGGAGGGTGAGGATAAGGAGAGGGTGAAATGAGAAATGACAGACAGGTTCAGTAGAGGGACAGGAGTGTGTTTACATCTATGTATGTGTGTGTGTGTGTGTGTGTGGGGGGGGGGGGGGGGGGGGGGGGGGGGGGGGGTGCGTGTTTAGGGTTTAAATGATTTTCCAACCAGGAATATAATCCTGAACTCTCAGTCGATTAAAACCTCAAAGTCATTCATTCACACATAAATCAGGATTCAGTTAGACAGCTAAACAAGAAACAGAAAACCTTACATGACCCCAAATCAGGGTCATATAAGGTTAAAAGAATAGCTTGATATTTTGAGAAAAAACATTTTCTGGCTGAGCATGAGATGAGGAATCGATATAAATCTCAGACAGAGCCTGCGCTTCAAGGAGATTATGTTAGCTTAGCATAAAGACAGAAAACGGGGGGAAAACAGCTAGCCTTGGCCTAAAAAGTCCAAGAAATTATGACCAACAGCTCTAGAGCTAAATTACATGTATCTCTTTTATTAAATGTGTATATAGAAACCAATTAGAGTAATGTGTAAAGTAAGTAAAAATTACAAGTTGTGGTTGTAGGGGGATTTGTTGTCACTGTGAGGTTGCTCATTTTTACATTTCTGTTCCATACATGTTAAACAAATTAGATAAAACATGTAAAAAGTTTTTTTGCATATGGACAAACAAGGCAAGCTGTTTCCCCCTTCTTAAAGTCTTAAATTTAAGCTAGGCTAATTGCTTTCTGACTATAAATGTAGCGCACACATGAAATTGATATAGATTTTCTCATTTAAATCTCAGCAAGATTCAAAAGAATAGCTTGATATTTACTTTTTTGTCAAGAGTGTGATGAGTAATCAATATACATCTCACGCCTGTGCAGTACAGAGCCTGCGCTACGAGGAAATTACATTAGTTTAGCGTAAAGAAAGGAAGCAGGGATAAATAACTAGCCTGGGCCTGAAAAAGTCCCAAATATTTGTTGACCAACACCTCTAAAGTTCACTAAATAACAGTGTATCTCTTTTATTAAATCTGTACACAAAAGGATTTGTAATTAATGAGCCTCAGAAGTGTTGGTGTAATATTTTTGAATTTGGACAGAGTCAGGCTAGCTATTAGGTTCCAGTCTTAAATTTAAGCTAGGCTAATTGGTTTCTGGCTACAAAAGGAGCACACAGACATGAAATTCATATAGATTTTCTCATCTGAGTCTTAGCAAGAAAATGAATGAGTTTTTTCCCAAAACTAATTATTTAAATACATAATTATCTGCTCCTAAGACAAAGTCATTTAGTCCTCTCGCCTCCCTAAACTCCCAGCTTGAATGTAAAAAAGTAACAGGAAGGAGAAAGCTCAGAGCACAGAGACAGCTTTTTCCTCATTCCCCACATTTAAGTGGCTCTTATTAAAGGATATTCTTGACTAAACAGAGTTCACAGAATAGTTGGAGAGAGTTTTTCTGTTTTGAGAATCTAACACAAATCAAGAGGAATGATTTTCTGCCAGCTGAAAGCTCTTTGTTACTTTCTGGTGGGAGAGAAGGAAGGTGAGAGCAAGAGATAACAACCAGGGATTTCAACAGAAACCTAACCAACAGACACATAATTACTGTGTACAAAAGCATGACACTGTCGCTCTGAAAGTAAATACATTTCTGCAACAACAGAAAAATCCAGTTTCATCATCATCATTGATGAAACTGAAAGTTTCTAGTAAAACAAAAAGAAAACAACATTTCTATTGAGGAGAAACAAAACCCTTCAAAACAAGAGTACACTCACTGACAGAAAGATGATATAATCATGTGATCACACACAGACTGTTAATAATAAACATTAAAAAAATGAGACAGAAGCAAAAAGAAAATAACATTTGTTTTTCCAAATTTACATTTGTGCATCTTAGTACAGAGGTAGATGCAGGTCCGGGCACACACACACAAACATCCACGTGCACTCTCGTCACGTGTGCTGCAGATACAACATATCTGAACAGAAACACACAGATCCAACCCCCGCTGTCTTGTTTATCTACATTGCATATTTCTATGTTTGTATGCTGTCTCTTTTGTCATGTTCTCTCTCTCGTCTTTCCCGTGTGGCGTTTGGTGTCCGCTCTTCCTCTACCACGGGCTGTCGCTCCAGTAGCCGTTCACAGTGCCTCCTACTGAGCGGCCATAGCCGAAACAAAGAAGAGATGGACGGACAGAAGAGAAGGGAGGGGGGAGGGTTGGGGGGGTTTAGGAGGGGCAAAAACAGGGAAAGAAAGAGAAGCCAAAAAGGGATAAAACTAAAAATATTGCCACTGGCTGCTGAGTCACACTGGAGTCAGTGCAAGTAGTAACGCTGTTGGCGGTGGTAGTAGTGGTGGTGGTGGTGGTGATGGTGGTAGTGGCGGTGGTGGGGATGATGGTGGCAGGATGACTTGAGGAAAACCACACTTCTCATGCTCAGGCTGAGCTGTGACTACTTTGTCAAGATAAAGAGAAACCCAACTGCCCTGCCACCTTAAAGGAAGAGTTCAACATTTTAGGAAATATGTTCTTTTGCTTTCTTTCCCAGATGTGAGACGATACCAATCTCATGTCTGGGCGTTAAGCATGAAGCTGAAGTCGGGACGTGGTTAGCTGAGTTTAGCATAAAGACTGGAAGCAGGGCAAACAGCTAGCATGGCTCTGTTAAAAAATACACCTACCACCAAGTTCTGATACAATTTTTTCCTTCCTGATACCAATACCTGAACTTTGTGTATCGGCTGATTATGAGTATCGGTCCGATATATGTAAAAAATGAAAATATATAAGTGTTTTATTTTTTAACAAGCATATAATACAAACCCTGTATGATTACTATCACTGTTGTATGGCCTGGCTGAGGTTAAACCCTTTGACAGAGTCAGAGTAGGGCAGGTCATGACCTCACTACACTGGGGGAAAAAGCATACGGGACCCTGCTGGGAAGTAGCAGGATCCCATTTTTGGTGCACAAACAGAAATGTAAAAAATTATTATGTTACATAATGTGTGTTTGGGCTGCGTCTCAACAAACGACACTTTTCCACTGGATATTGAGCGGGTTGCTAGATAACAGGTGAATGAGCATGTGTTTTTGCTTTGTAAAGGTATGATGGTAGCAAACCTGGCAACCTAAATGTGGCAACAAGACCTGTGTAAGTGAGCACAGTTACTGCACCTGGCTGTTGTTATTTTCAGTGACTAAAACCACAACTTGTCCTTTGTCTTTACATTTCTGTTTGTTTATTCTGGACGGATCCAGACTGGCTTCTTCCCCCTGCTTCCAGTCTTTACGCTAAGCTAGGCTAACCACATCCTGACCGCAGCTATGTGCTCGACATGAAAGACATGAGGGTGGTATCACTCTCGGAAAGAAAGCAGTCTTTGTACTGTTCCTTTAGACCTTAGTTAAACAAAAGCACGACATAGAAATGAGAAGTGATCATCCCTTTCTTTGGGCTTTGCAGCTCAGCCTTTTGCAGACAGCTATGGTGAGAGTGCATGGAGCGCAGGTGAGGAGTGACGGTGTGGTAAAGATCAGACCCTACCTCTCCAGTTTCCATGACAACATCTATACTGGAGGTCTTGGTGAGGTTAAAAGTCAGTTGATGATGTATGTTCACCTACATTTTTTTTCTCGCTTTCCTATAGCTGCTTTTGTTCATTTATTTTAAGAAATATGTTTCATGCACCAGCTCTGCAGCGTTAATCAAGTGACAGCCAAAACCAACTCCGCTTTTTATCCTACCCTTCCCTTCGCCTAGCATCCCATAATCCCCTCTGACAGTGATTCCCAACCTTTTAGCTGGAGACCTCTTAAAACCGACATACCATAATTTCTCAAATCAGGGCTGTAGCTACCACTGAGGACCCTGAGATTATGTCCTCTGTGTGCATTATCGGAATATTACATATTTATAGCTTGGGGCACATTTACATTCTGCAGATAGACAGTGGATAAATAGGCTAATTATAGGCTGAATAAAATGTATCTTCTTTTCAGCATTTCCACATTAGAATTGTACTCACAGCAGAGAGGAGAAGGCTGTGAAGCTTTCTTACCTTCATACTGGAAAACAACATTTAGAGACAATACGACAAATAATTCAATTACTAAAATATTGAAAATATAATTATCTTTTTTTGTTTTTTATTTACACATTATATTTTTGGTTTCTGGTCAAAATCCCTAGGAAGAAGTGGGGGTATTCGACTAATTCATCCATACGCTGAAAATAAAATAATAAAAACAATTGAAATTACTCTGAGCTGAGGTGGAAATATTGGCACATGGATAAATCATTGTCAAAGCGCAATGGAAACAGATTTAATGCACACAAGCATTTGACGCAAAACGTCACTGAAGCTTCAAGTGAAGAGCTTAAAAAAAACCGATCTGTGTGGAGCGAT